ACATCAGAGCTGAAGCACCGACCCTAAATTATTAGATATTGCCTAGTAATTGCTCTCTGAATTTTGCAGATGCATGCTGCAGATTGCTCTCTGCATTTCTTGCCTCCTGCATATTGCAGAGGAGATCTCAGAACTCCTACCTAGCCCAGCTTACGGTAGTCACGGCAGAAACGTATTTCCCACCACACTCACTGTCATTTATCCCCGAGCAACTCCCTTCACAGAGAATCAATAAAACCTGGTTTGAGCTCTGGGCGAGGCCTTTGTTCTACTGAGGCACCATCTTGGCTGGACTTAGGACCCCTTGGCTCTCCATAACTGTATAAATGTCTTAGTGTCTTTACTCTCACTGTGGGTTGCACTGGAAGTGGTAGATTGGAATTAACTCACTAGAATTCCAACAACTTCTCTCTGGGATTACAAATATAAACCTTCCTGGACTTCAACAAGGATGGGAAAGCGTTCTCTATAAGTATGTACTGAAAATGTTATATACATTTCTTAAATCTTTTGTTAGTAAAAAAAGCAGCAGCATAAGCTTGATGATAAGTGGCCACCGAGACCCTGCAACTGCATGAAAGACACTGAGGAGTGTTGAGGGCTGGGGGACCCAGAGAGTGCGTACCCCATGTACGGGGTCACACACTACTCAAGCCAACTGCTGTCAGGTGACCAGCGGACCTGATGTTGCCAGGTTCTGCAAGAGAATCCAGAAACCTGCACTTCTATATGAAATCTCCTACATTTTAAATGTGGACAGCTATATAAAAACAAAATTTAATACACTGTAGGATGCCATGATGGAAGGGTGGAATCTAACAGGTGTGCAGACCGGCCTGGGCCCAGCCTGCGGGTTGGGACCTCTGCTTTCCCTGGCACTGCCTCTAAGGTTTCAACTGTGGCCTGTTCCAAGCTGGGCAAAAATAGCTGCTGAGCTGAATTGAATTTTCATGTAAGAACTCTGGAGCACTTTCTGTGCTGAAAAAAAACTGGACATATGATATTTTTTTTAATAATCTGAAGAATGCTTTCTATTGTTGCTGTGTTTTCTTTGTGTGCACACGAGTGTAACATGCCCTGAATGCAGAGAAGCCATAAACTAGGTCACTTCCTTGGACAGCAAAATTTTCTGAAACAAAAGCAGTAAAAAATTGATCATTTTCCTGCATAGGAAGCATACACTTTACCCTGCAAACACACGCAGCCTAATATAACAGAACCCGGTCCGACTAAAATATAAAATGCATGCATTTCATAAGCAGAATTTTTAATCTCATTAATTTTTACAGAAATCCTAAATCAGTTTTCCTGTAAGAATACAATCAACTGCTTAGTTTCCCTTCAGACAACCTTGACCTCTACAAGGAAGGCAGTAATTTGCTTTTTTGTTTTTCTCCCCCCTTCCCTCCTGGATATTTCCCCCTTATTTTACAGAATTTAATAATGGGAGAAGTAACAAATGAGAAGATAAAAATATTCCTGAACACTCTAGGGCATACATGGCTATATAAACAGCTATTCCTTTAAGTTACATCATTTGCTGGACTATTTGACTTTATAATGTGAACTCTCAGCTTATTGCAAAATTTAACTTGTATATGATAGTGTGTGTCACCGAATTGCTGCAAATTTTAAGCTCAGGCTGTAAAATGCCAAATTATCTATTTCATCGGTGTTTCTGTCCATGTGTGTATCTGTCCATCTGTGGAGCGGTCTATTTAGAGCGTGATCTATGGAGCCGAGCCTCTGTACGTCTTTGTTTCTTATTCCTTCTTGTTTATGGCGACCAGGTACCCCCTCGATGCCAAACTGCCCTCTTCTCGTCTGCAGATGTTCGTGGCACAGCCATTCCTTTTATTATTCCCTCTAAACTTTCTTTGTTCCCGTCTCTGTCTTTTATTATTTCTACTGTGTCATCAGAAACTGACTGCCGGAGCCTGCCAATTAGCCTTTGTCTGTCAGCGCCAGTCGCAGCCTCCCGAAGAGCGAACGTGCAAGGCGAGGGGACAGGTCCTATTTCGTATGCAGCGCTCTGTCCCCACGTAGAGATGTGCCACTCCTGACAAAAGAGCGGAAGATGGGCTCAGATTAGCGGCTGACAAACTTCCTCTGAGGGTGTGCCTGTGAGTGTGAGTGTGTGGGGGAGCGGAGGGGACAGGGCAGAGCCGGGAACCGCATCCTGACATGCTAGAGAGCAGCTCTAACTTCCAAAATGACTGAGCCATTCTGAACCCACAAATCAGTGACTTGAAAATGGGGTTCACAGTGGATGCTGCACCCCCACCACCACCCCCATTCTGGTCCTTGTGAGAGGACGGAGCTTTCTGCCTCCTGATCCCATCCTCCGGGCACCCCACTACAATGCCTCCCCACCCTGTCAGCCTCTCTTGTCCTTCCCTAGGGTGAGGCAAACAGGACTTTTGCCCTGAGGCCAGGATTTAGGGGTGCACCAAAAACTCAGGAATCAAGATGCATATTTTACAATATTAAAAAGACTGCAAAGCATCTGCAGTGAGCAAAGTGTCCACATTTTGCATAAAGACAGGGTTGGTATTACTGATGTTTCCCTGTCACTGGGCTCAAGTACGCTTGGGACAGCACTGTGGCAGATGGTGTCTTTATATGTGGGACTTAGTATATCTAGGTAGTGTATTTTGTTCCTTAAGGATTTTTGGTCATTTATTTTTATTTTTAACGACGACATTAAAATGTGACTTATCTTGATTGTTGAGTTCTTTGGTTGCCTCTTGAATTCTGACCCCAAGGTGAGTTCTCTGTTGGCCTTACTCTTGTCTTGGCCTGGGGGTTTTCACATGGGCCCGCCGGAACCTCTGCTCTCCATGAAGGCCTCCCTCTGGCCAATGCCACTGACCCATGACGTGCTCTGAGGCTGCTGCCAGACCTGCTGGGAAGACACCACATACAGCGCTTCCCGCAGCACATGCAGCCTCTGGAGAGGCCACTGAGGAACCGGGTCTTGACACACCAGCAGCTCTGCATGCTTGGATGTGTAGATGGTCCCACTATCACACTCCCCGGTAGAGGGCCCCGAGGCAGTTGGTTGATACCCCACAGGGGACCCCACCATCTTTAGTTTTACTCTTATTTTTCTAGTTCTCCATCAGACTTGAGGCAAGAATATGGGGCAGTTTTGGCCTAGGAAGAATCCAAGAGCCCCAAGTTAGTTATAGTCAATCGTCCCTTCTCGTTAGCAGCTAAGGTCAGGCTCACTGTTTGGATGACCCGACCTTTAGGATGAGTTCTTTCCCAGGATTCCCTTCTGCCCTACAGGGCACAGACTCCCTGCAGGCAGGGGCACCCACACAGACACGCTGACTCTTGGTGGTCTTCATTAGCTGGCCACATTTTGTTGAAGGCAAAATATTCCGTTTCCCTTTTTTTTGCTAACAGCAGCCCTGTCAGGTGGTTTCCTGAGGTTGGAGCCACTCGCCATTCACCAATGAGAAAGACAAGAAGGTGAGAAACAAAACCCCTGGCCGCTTCTTGGTTGTAAACAGCGTGGTTGGGATTTGAAGCCACATCCTCTGACTCCACAGACCGAGCTCCTGCACCCATCAGCCTTGCGTTTGCCTGTGAGCCATCTGTGGAGTTTCAAAATGTTCTTTCTTCTACAAATATAAAACTATATGTGGAAGCTGGAAATACATTTGAAATTTTGGTTTCAAACTGAGCTTCCTCTACTTGCTCTCCCTTCATATACACACTCACACCTACAACTACATAAAACACACCCTCAGTTTGCAATACTCTGCCCCTAGTTAAAGTTCCGTCCGTGGTCATCTCGGTGACTAAGCAAAAGAAAGTGACCTAAGAAGACGCACCAGTCAAGCTCTTTGGCAAGAAGCAATAGCCATGAACTCTGGTTAGTTTGGATAAGCATGGGTTTAGTGCAGGGCTGCTGGCTCACAGCACAGCATAACAAGAGACTCAGGTTCAGGAGCAAGCTGGTTTCTAAAGTCCATAGCCCTACCTGTTTAAGGCCTTTGCTTCCCTGTAGATACGCATTTGTTAAATAGATGCCTTCACCAAGGCGTTTGGGTAGCACTTCAGGAAGGGATGAAGTGCGCATGGAAGGAGCTTCTTAGCTTGGAGTTGGAGGTCTACCTCAAATACTAAGAGTCTGATGACTCAGAGATGATGAATGCTTTGCTCAAGGCCACGACAATATTTTGTGATAAATAACCCTATAATGATTATACAGGAGAGGAAAGGGAGACCTAGGATTGTTAACTAATTTGCATAAGGTTTCAGAGGCAGAAAGTCATCAAATCAGCTTTTGAATCCAGATTGTCTATCTCTACAGATCATGTCTGTGATCATTCACATACTAGAACACTGTAGATAAGAAGTATAAAAATACTTATGTCAAAGGACATCCCAGGCTATTGGGCTAAGAAATAAAATCATTTTGACCTTGACATTGACCTCTTCATTTAAGTCTTATAGTAGTGGTTAAAAACACTTGTTCTATATTATTGAAGAGTTTCCTAAAATATTCCTAAGTGCTTGTGCAGATAAGCCATGTTTGCTTTTGGGATGTGACTTCTAGAAGTTTGCCATCTGTTAAGGAAAGGAATCGGGAACATTATGTACGGCTGCAGTTTTAGAGTACGAGACTGGGGTGGTTTAGGCATTTCTGTGAGTTTAGGGTTGGAATCAGTGGTGGCTTTCTCAGCCATCCTAGTGTCCAGTTCCCCAGGCCTCGGCAAGGAGAGAAGTGGTGTCCTGATGCTTACCGACACACACCCATAATTTGAGCTAACATCACTCACAACATCAAGATAAAACCCCTGCAAACCGCCCTCTCTGTGAAGCATTTCCGAGGTCCCATAGGGACCACGCCAAGCACATACAAGCTGTGGCGTCACCCAGCGTCTTCTGGAGGGAACTATTCTCAGGAGAGAGTTTGGATAAGAGGGGGAGGGTGAGAAATGAACTCTACTTTCTCCTAATTTCCTCGTCTTTCTCATCTCCTCTAGCCCTGACCAGGCACCCTCAAAGAAGCAGAACTTGACATGAAGATCTGAGTACAAGTTGGGTTTGCCGGCAGGGTGGTACCAGGTAATGTCTGCAAGGGTAGTGGGCTGGAGTGGGACAGGGCAGGAAATGCAAGTCACAGGTAAATAGCAGGAGATCAGTGTCTCCTGGAAATGACCAGCAGCCAGGACAGGAAATTGTCTCTAATCTGTCCCCCTCCCCAGAGAGGCTGTGTGCACACCGACATGGGAACATTTACACACTAACGCATCATTCATTGGTGGAAGCCTGCTTCTAAAGGAACCTTAATTCCTGATACTTCTGGTCCTCCAGGCACTTAGCAACCTGATTTCCAGAGGCAGAGAATTCCCTCCGGCAAAGAAATGCAGATGCCGCTGAAGCTGGACACCAGCATCAGCACCTGGGCCTGTCCCTGGCAGCGACAGCCGTGCATGCCCTGGACGCCCACTCCACGGGCTGCTCCGAGACAGCTGTACACGTTTCCACCCCAGGCCTCCGCTTAAGAATCATCACATCATCCATCTTTCCATTTCAGTGCTAGAAAAACACAGACAGAAAATGCTAATGCAGATCTGTGCTCGGCAGAGTAGGTTTTGATATTTTTCCTGAACTATTGCGGACCCTGTATTTCAAGTCAGTAGCAAGCCATTGTACTCCACCCCTTGGTAGTACAGTTTCCCTATCTCCTTGTGATGAGAAGAAGATTCAATCACACAGCTTTGGGGTTTTATTTTGCTCATTTTTTCCCTGTCGTTTCCTGCTATTACTTGTGTTTCTATTTATTTTTATTGGAATTTAGTCTTTTATTGAACCTATATTCTTTCTCTGATATTTTTATAAGCTGGGCCCAGCATCTTATAGAGTTTCTAATAAACTAGAAATAATTCTTTTTATTGGTCAAGACGCTGTGTGGTGTGGCTCACGTTTGGTGGCCAGCATTCATTTTAAGGGTTGGGTTCATCATACCCCTTGGGGTTAAAGTTTATTGTTTGAAATCATTCCAATTTTTGGTACCTGAACATTGAACTTTTATTTTATTTCTGTACAATTTCATCTGTTGGGTCTTTTCTTTCTACACACGTCTGTAATGCCACCAATACCAACAGCATCTCTCATTAGATAGGGCTGTTCTGCTTCCGGATGCGGACAGCGTAGTTGGGTGTGCTGTGCTGTTGTCTACCGTCTCTTCTAGCTGTGTGACTCGGGTGAGATGCTTCACCTCCAGCAATTTGTTCGTATGTAAAGTGAGTATGATAATAAAACCCAGCTCATAGGGCCTCCTATTAGACAGATATCATGTATAATACGGGATGCTTAGCCCTGTGTCTGCAACACAGCAAAACGCTGGATCAATGTATGCCTTTACTACAAAACACTGGCGTATATGTGGTGTCTTCTACTCAAATAGAAGCAGTAGTGTTGACTTTCAGTCTATATGTGCAACTAATCTTGAATTATCAAGGGATTGAGTCATAGTTTGTGTATGTGTACATGTAATGCAGTCAATTAGTAAGTGAATATATGTATAATAGCTTTGTCTTAGGTTTTCATTCCTATGCCTGGAACCTTAATTTTATTGTTCTTTTTTGGAGACAGAGTCTCTCTATGCAGTTTAGGCTGGCTTTGAACTCACCATGTAGCCCGGGCTGGCCTCAAACTCATGGCAATCCTCCTGCCTCGGTCTCCTGAGTCTTGGAATTAAGGTGTGCACCACCATGCCTGGCTGGAACCTGAATTTTGAGATGGCATTTCTTTTTGTTTTTTGGACTTTTTCATTTTTATCGATACCGGGGATTGAACTCACAACTGCCTGCTTGCAAGGCAGGCGCTTATGCTGCTGAGCTAAATCCCCAGCCCCTTGAGATGGCATTTCAATCACAGGTTATTGGCCTAACACGGCAGCATGTGTGTAAACCTTTAGGCCTCCATGATCAGTGCTGACCTAATTTTACCCCGAGCAGCTGCATTTCCCAGCTGTGGGGTGTGCACATCTGTGCATTTTCTCAAGGACACGAGGTCACAGCGACATCAAGGGAGTGCAGTGAGCCCCTTGCTGTGGGCTCAGTCTCCCAGGCCGGGCCTGCTGGGATGCTCACCTCTGCGGAAGGGGGCAGCTCTCCTGCTTGGCTCCCAAGAGGAAAGGATGCCGGGAGCAGCTGTCGGTTTCAGAGAAGTCACCATGTGCAGACCTCTGCTGCAGATTCCCTTGCTTGCCCCGGAGCCGCGGCCTGCATTGTGCCAGTGAGCCCTCAGTGACTGTGCAGAGACACACAGGTCAGCTAGGAATCTGGCTTTTCAAAAACTGAACTCACACTCGTGGATTAATTTCAAGCTTGCAGAAAAGTTGCAAAACTAGCACGTGCTGACTGTTTTAACCGTGGGCGCCTGTGGTTTATTAAGACAAAGATTGTACCAGGTCGTGTAAATGTGGTTGGAGGCTTCGGTTAGCTACATATTTTCCCGTGGGAAAATATGGTGCAAAATTTATTATTTCATTTGACAACAATGATTGGGTGCTCTAGGTGCCTCGTGTGGAGTTAGGTCGTGGGTCATAGGGATGAGCAGTGCAGTCTTTAGGAGAAATGAACATTGTGTGTACAAGTGTGCACACACACGGAGGCCTGCACACAATCAGATGAGTATAAATTTATACAAAATGGACATGAAATAGCCCTTCAGGAGCCCTTGTAATCTAGGCACTCTGGGAGGCTGAGATAGGAGGATTATGAGTTCGAGCTGAGCCTGGGCAACTTAGCAACTTAGTGAGATTCTGTCTCAGAAAAGAAAATAATCAAAGGACTAGGAATATAGCTCAGTGCAAAGGCCCTGGGTTCAATTCCCTGCCCCTGAATAAAAAGAAAGCTTCAGTAGGCACTGCCTGGGACTGGCCACGGGACAGGGGAGGGGAGCTGGGAAGAGGCTCCCCAGGAGGTGCCGTGGGAGGGCTGGAGGGGAAGTGCTGGCCCCAGGGGAGGTGCGGCAGGGGACGCCATGCAGGCACACAGAACATCACCGATAGAGATGGCATGGGCCATGATCTGCTTTTCCTGAGTTTCTGACTCAAAAGATTAAAATAAAAGGGTGTGTGTTTCTTAGATCATCCAGGCAGGGCTCTTCTAATCCTGCACCTCCCTGTTCTGGTTTCACCTCTCTGTGATTTTCTCCCTGGCCCAAGGTCATCCTTACCCTGTCCTCAATCCCAGTCCTGTGTACAGTGCGATTGCTTCATTATATTACCCTATTGTAATTACCATTGTGGAAATGTGTGGGTTGCTCCTCGAGGAATAGATTTTATTTATACTTTGTATCTCCAAATAATGAGCAAGTCGCATTTATTGAGCGCCTGCTCTGCACCAGGCACTTTGCTAAACCTTCCCAGGTGCTCTTTTATTTACCTATTTCTCAAGACAAATCTGTGAAATAGTATTTTTCATTTTCCGCCATTCAGTTAGCGAACATTTATGAGGCAGCTGCCACCGTGCCCGGCACTGTTCTAAATCAGAGCCAGTAAGTGAGGATAATAATAGCACATCTGTTTATATAAATAAAGTTTTATTAGCATACAGCCACACTCATTTGTTTAGACGTTTTCATGCCAGAATGGCGAGGCTGAGTAGCTGCAGCAGAATGGGTGGTCCACGAAGCCTGCATCCTTATTATCTGGCTTTTTACAGAAAAAGTTTTTTTGATCCCTGTGCTGGACACAGGGACACAGCATAGAAAAAAAGGAGCCAGGCTTCCATAGTGCTTGCATCGGAGATCTGTAATTAGACAATACAGTTCCTGGCCTCTCTTGCAGCTAGAGGTGACTACGTGACGATTCTATCCTGTAGAATTTGAGTAGAGGTAATGTGGCCTTTTGCAGACCTGACCCATAACGATCTCCATGTGATCATCCACACTTTTCTCTCTCTTGTACAGAATGACCACAGTCGGCTGGAAGCCACCTCCGGAAGATGAATGACAACGCAGAGCCAAGATTTCTTCTCCTCCTTATCCGACACAAACCAGCCTGCACGCAGTGTCCTGTGTCAGCAAGAAGCATGTGTCTGCACAGGTGTGTCAGAGCCATTCTGGATTTTTGGGTCAATCCGTGTTAGCATTAGAGTTGCTCTAATTGGTACAATTCTATTATTATCCCGTTTCAACTTGCCTTACAAGGTCTTTCTATTCTCTCCTCCAAACAGGAGGGTGACAGCGGTGGGGGGATGTTACATGATATTGATTTTGACGTTGATCTCTTTTGTGGTTCTGCCGTCTGCCTTTGATAGGGTTGAGCCTGGGTCCTGGTGCCTCCTCGGATCTCAGCCTGCCGAAAGGGGTGCACGGCTTGTTTTCACCTTTTGCTCTTCAATTCTCCTTGTATTCACAAGGCCAGTATGGAGGCGCATGGCCATATCTGGCTTGCGGGGGGCTGGGAAAGGTGTTCTCCACGTGCCCACCCAAGACCCAAGGGCTGCCATCATGAAAAGGAGGGATGGCAGAATGGATCCTTGCATGGTTAACTGTTTTCATTTGCAGGATGAGGACTCCCGATTATAGTCTAAAGGAAACTATAGCAAAGCCCCATATAAGCCATTTACAAAGCATAGCCTTTTCCCTTTTTTCCCCTAATAAACCATTTCCTGGAATTTGGATGTATAATATTAATAGCCAGAACTTATCATGGCATCTTACATACAAGTCTGGGGAATGTTGATTATACCACTACAGATAGTGTTACGTAATTCACATTTACCCAGCTGAGGGTTAAATGCTTTGCTTTGGATTTAAAAGTCAGGAAGAGTCAGATCCGGAATCCAAAGCCAGACAGCTGGGTTGCAGGGCCCATCCGTGCTGCTGGCTTGACTGGAAGCGGTCCGCTGCTTCACCCGTGGAGTGGTGTGAAATGCATGCTCCCTCAGGATGCAGAGTGAACCCCCATCTGGAGGATGACGTGAACAGTTTTTATTATATGTTTCATCTTTTGTTTAAACTGTACTGTGCTGCAGTTTTTTTTAACTTTTAAAAATATTCTAAGGTGATTATGAAAACCCCAGACGTGATAAATAGAAATTCCTCTTCATCCCCATTTCTCCTCCCATTACCCAAGCAATACTACCCTCTCTAGAACAGGGGTTGGCAAACTCTGGCCTGTGGACCAGATCCAGCTACTTCCTACCCACCTTTTCTGTAATCAGATTTATGGGGACCCCGTTATGACCATCAGTCAGTGTTCTCTGTGGCTGCTCTGTGCCCAAAGGGCAGAGTCGAATATTGTACCAGAGACTTTATGGTCCAGAAAGCTCAGAATATCTCCTGCCTGTCACTTCACATAAAAAGTTTGCCAGCCTTTGCTTCAGAACAAATCAATATTCAGATTTTGTGGCTGTTATTTCAGATCCTTTCCCATGTTTTTTTTTAAACATATGTCTGATTATGCATGTATGCAATTACACAAATACATTTCTACGTATACATAGCTATATATACACATGCATACCTTAGGCGAGTGGAACGTACTATGTAACTGATGGACATAATATATCTTGGAAATTGTTCCCATATCAATGTCTACAAAGCTACTTTGTTATTCGAGGAAATCACATCGTCCCTTGCACGGATGTACAGTAATTTATTTGATCATTCCTCCACTCTGCTGATGAACATAAAGCTTGTTTTCAATTTCTGTCAAACATCTTGAATGAGTCCTCAGAATGTCTTTGAAAACCCAATTGTAGCCTCCATTCACTTAATTTGTAAGATTTGAAGTCTTCACAGCAGGGAGGCTGACTTCCTTCAGCACTGGAGTTTCTCCCACACGGTAAACAGGACCAGAAATATATTCTGAATTTCAGATCTTAATTATGCACTGTACACTTAATTAAAATTCACATTGTCAGTAAAAGGTAAGGACTATAGATTAGACTGTGGTGGTTGGCATCATGATTAATATACATTTAAGCTTTAAAATCTGTTGTTACATTATGTTGGATTTTCCAGAAAGAAACATGAAGTTTAAATGCATTTTTAAGAAGACAGAAGGAGATATGAACTCGGTGGAAGAAATTCAGCGTATTCTAAGAGCAGATGATAGCTGCGTATAATGCAAAAATGGAGCCAAAGTCACACCTTAATTTGCGTGTTGCTTCAAGCAGGCAGGTTTTTCTTCTCCTTCCTGAAAAGTAGAACCGTGCAAAGCTGGAGGATGAATGTGCAAAGGCTGAAACTCCAGGATAGAACTTGCATGTAATTTTTTATTTTGCAAAACTAACTATGTTAAGTTTCACCACGCTTGGAGTCACCACCCTCGGAGTTTTAGAGGATCACTATGCTTCATTTGTCCCCAAAGTTTGCATTTTTCTGTAGTTACATTTTCCTATGAGAGAATCTTGTTTTTCTATTTTTACCCTAAAAAGTGCCCTTTGTTTGGAGACTTACCCGTCTGTGGCTTGATGTGAATTTTCCCACTGCGTTCGGTGCATTTCCATTTATAAGCCACGTTTCTCTCACCGTCTCTGCTTCACACTCAGTGAAGAGTTTGTTCACGATTGGAAGTGGCCCCCATCCTTACACCCTGTAGTTCCCCAGAGCTCGCTCCCGCTAGTCCGAGATCCGCTTTCTCTTCTCTGTTTCGGTGTTTGACTATAACAAATCCGAAGACCTTTGCTTTTTACTGACACTAACTTTAGTCTTTTAATTTTGCTGTCTCCCTTCTCTTTGGTTCTTCGTTTTCAATGTTTTGAGCTATTGCTTCTCTATGATTGCCCTTATACTTCGAGCAATTTAAGCGCATGTTAAATATCTGGAATAGAATGTGCTAGCTCTGTTTTATATCTCCCTTTTTTCTTGGTAATTAGACTTCCAAATGTTACCCAAACACATGCCACTGAGAAGAGCATGACACTGCCCAGTAAGTTTTTCTTTGTGACTGGGTGCAACTATGTGACCACTTTTACGCCAAGGGGTGTGAGAAGTGGCCTTTGCAGTATTAAGGGGCATCTTTCAGTGGTGAGTCTACTGGCTGCTGGCTTGCTGGCATGTGGCTGGGTGCTTGGCAGTAAAGCTTTCAACTTGGACCCGGATGTGGGAGCTGCGTGTTGACCTTGAGAGGCCTGATGACAGAGACACAACAGGAAGAAGGTGTCTAGGTACGTACCGGGAGATAAATGCCAACAGCACCAAAGTCCAGGAAAGCTTACTTAGTGCTAGAGGAGAGCAGAGTACAGACTCTGCTTCCTAATGTGATTAAATCCAAAATGTCTTGAAGGCTGCCCAGGGGAGAGGCAAAAAAGTATGTGTACGTGTGTATGTGTGTGCGATATTCTAAATCGCTTGTGTATTTCACTCAAATTGATGGCAATCACCTAGAAATCACTAAATTTTCTGCTACAGTGTAAATCGTGGACTTGGGATGAAGAGATGAATTACAAAACTTGTATTTCTTTGCATCCCTTGATCCTGGCGCACCTGGTATGGGTTTAGGCTGAGGCAGGCAGCAAGCAACTGTTGGCGAGTTTGGAGCCTGCTGGTGGCACCTGCTCATTTGCTTTCCTCTGAAACCTTTTTTCCTAAGGGCGGTGGGCACGTGGTGGTCAGGAGTTGCTTCTGTTCCCTCCCGAATATACTGTGCTGTCCTACATCTGTCACTGTATTTTTGCAGAGTCAGACGGTCTTCGCTGAATTATTTTTTATTGCCATCATTTGTGATCTCCACGATAGACCTGTCTTTATATATTTTCTTCAAAACAGGCTCCCAGTCAATTTTTGGAGAGAGGACTGAGAGTCTCTTGGTCAAATTTAAGAATTGCAACTGGGGCAGTCACTTTGCTGATGAAAAAAGCAAAAAAAAAAAAAAAAAAATATATATATATATATATATATATATATATGGAACATGGCTTTCATTTGAGGAATAAACTTTTAAGGTGCATTGCCTTTTTGTCTACCTTCTCTCAATTTCATTTCTTGATAAAATGATAAGACAGGGGCTGGAATTTAGTTCAGTGGCATAAGCGCCTGCTTTGCAGGAACATGGTTGTGAGTTCCATCCCCAGTATTGATAAAAAAAGATACGATAAAGAGGTATTAGGTTTCAGATAAGACTTGACCCAGAGATGCCAACAAGGTCTTTCTGCAACCTGTGTTGCTTTGTTCCTTTGTTCTGCTTCCTAGTTTGCAAGCAGCCTTCTTGACTAATACACACCACAGTACAGAGGCCTCAGAATCTCTAGCTCTTACACCATATTTCAACACGCTCCGCTGCAGGAGCCCTTCTTTTTCTTAATATTATGAGAGAAAAAGTAATGACGTGCTCTTCTTTGGCCTGCTTGGGCCTAAGTTTCTCTCTGAGCAAATGACGCCTGGTCAAGGCAGTGGGATGAGCAATGGGGATTCAGGTCTTGGGTCTGGCCCTTTTTGGGTTTGGGGATCGAACACTCCTCTGCAGCCTGCTGTCCTTCCCAGGAAGGTAAATAAGTAGGCAAAACCAACACAGAGCCACCACTCTATCTCCCTCCCTGGCACAGCATGACTACAAGGTGGCTCTGTTTTCCTGTGCTCCTTTGGTCTCTGTTCCTAAGCGACATCTTTATTTGGTTGTACTTACAGAATAGATCAAAGGCCAACAATGACCACCCAGGAGCCAGATGTGGCCCTTCCCAGCTGTCTCATTAAGACACGGCTGTACTTATCCACCATGCCTTGCAACCGAAACCCTGTGGTTGGTGGGACCCAGGCTGTCCACTCTCTGGCACTCACAGGCACGCTGGTCAAGCCGGTTGTGTATTAGCATCTGCGTTTGTTTTTACTTAATGGCTTCTTAGGGACAGTTCCACCGACTTTTAGAGTCTCCATAGTTACCGTTATGTATTTTGGCTGCAGAATACTTCCGCTGAGTGGGGTGAGTCTCCTTTTTCTGCCCTCAGAGACAGAGCGACATGGTGGAGTCCCCACAGGAGGACTCCTCGCTCTTGTGAGCAGGAGGCAGGGGCTTCCTTTAAGATTAAACTCACTTCCTGGCTCCCTAAGCTCCACTCTGCCGAAGCCCTAATCAGCTGTGTTTTTCTTGTCTAAAGCATCTCCAGGGCAAGGATGCCATTCATGAGGACCACATCCCCGATGTCTACTGCAAGTCAGGTGTGTTGTCTGCAGCCCACGGTCCACGACTGGTGTCACTGGTGCTATGAATCAAACCGTCTGCAGCCCCAGTTAAAACCTCCCATTGCTCTCAGGATAAGTGGAAAATTCTCTAGGTCTACAATAGTAGATCTGGCACCCAGAGGAAGCAGAGTAAAGCTGGGGATGAGCGTTTTGCCTTAAGGAGCTGCCCATGTGAGCCTGCAGGGATGCTGGGAGGATTTCTAGGCCCCTGGCGATCGCACCCATGCAGGAGGGGAGGCAGCCAGTCTGCGGGGAACGCAGTGTCGCCGTGTGGCTCCCCAGGACAGTCTCAGCCACCAGGGGCCTGCCTGTCCCGCTGGGGGATCCTTCTGTTTCCTGGTCTCTTGGGCTTTCTCCACCACCTGGTTTGGGTTCAGGCTGGGACTGCATTTTGACGCAGTGTTTTATGCTTATTTTTTGTAAACAGCGACTTGGGGCAGGGTTGGCTAACTTTTCTGTAAATGACCAGAGTGTAAACATGTTAAGCTTCACAGGCCAAATAGATTCAGTCTCAGCTACCCAGGTTTGCTGGCTGACAGTCTGTACTTGAGCTGCTATGGATGAGACCCAGTAAACCTTTATTTAGGAGAAGAGGCAGAGGGCCAGAGTTGGTTCAAGGGCTATGGTTTGCTGACCTCTGACTTAGATATTGGCAATGTCTTGACTCCCTAATTGGAAAAAAAATTCCACTTTAATATTAGTGTTTTTCAATTTGGGCTCTGTAGTCCCTGGAGTTTTTACAGATTTGCTTCAAAATGTTTAGCTGTGCTGGGAGGATGAGGGTCACACTGCTCTCTGATGCGCGGAGCTGCTTGTGAGCCTGCATTTGGGAAGACTGAACTTTGGAATCAGATACTCTTTACATGTGAGTGCATATATGTAACACATGGTAGTAGGTGGTAATTTCCTTCTGCAAGAAAATTGAGTTTTTGTGAATAACCATTTTTATTTCTATGAGAATAAAATCCTAAAGATGTTGTCCCGCAGCCCGTGGAAGCAGGATGATGTGAATTTCCTATCTGGTTTGCCTTTGGCTCCTTGTTCATTGCTGGAGAAAACGATGGATTTTATAATGGCAGTTTCTTGTTCAGTTCAACTAAACCTAGTGAAGGGGTTTTGAGCGAGGGTCAATCCGCGTTTTCCTTTTCTATAGAAGAGTTCTATTGGAAAGATTTTATGGCTTCCCTACCCGGAAGTGCCTGCTAACCACTAGTGGATATTTCTGTTTTCTTTCTTACACATTCCCTCCTCTTTCTTCTCTCTGGGTCCCAAACGCTTCCTGGGCTCCATGTTCTAAATCTCTCACCATCCCTCTGCTTTGTCACAAGAATGCTTATCACTGCTCGGAACACAAGGGTGACCGTTGTTTCATGTCCAACCCCTGATACAGAAACAGTCTTGCATGTCCAGGGACCCTGTCCAGGTGGCTCACGATTGCACGGCTGATGTTGGACACACAGTGAGCACATTCGCATTTGCGCAATTTAACCCGCATGGAATCGTAAAGCCATTTGGGAGAACAGACAATGGTGAAGAATAGCTCCAGTGCAAGGTGAGTGACAAACTTCTGCTGCAATTAACAGATGACTGACAAATAGGGACTGTAGGAGAGACTGCTGGAGCTGTGCCAGACGTCAGTGTGCCCTGACCCCTCAGCCCGTGCACACAGGACCCGGCAGATCGGAGGCTCACTCCTCCGTGTGGCTGGGTTCTCTAAGTGAGAGGGTTTTCTGGCAGGCTGGGGGTGCTGGCTGCAGCAGGTGGCAGGAGCAGCCCTGAGCAGCAGCAGTAGAAGTTGCTGGACCAATACCCAGATCCGTTGGTCCTTGTGAAGGACAGAGCCTGTTGCCCACGGGGTTACCTGCCCCTGCAAGCACAGTGTTGGTTTTCTTCTCTTTCCTATCACACTTCCCAGTTCCCTGCTGAGGATTCCTGGGATCACTTCTGTAGGGAACCACTCAGACGGCTTCAAAGCTCACGGGTGTCTAAGGACACCTGAGGACATGACTACTCTGCTTGTCTAGTGCAGGTGCACAGTGGGATACAGTTATGTAACCATGACTTAGCACGGGTAGACACCCATGCAGGTGTTTGAAGCATGTAAGAATGTAAATGTGAGACAACTTTCTGTATCAGAATTACACAGTAAAGCACAGTGGCTCTTGCTCTGGCTCTTGTGCTCCTGTGCATTTTTAAACCTTGGGACCCTTCAAATCTCACTATTGCCCCCCCCCCCCCCAGCAGGCCACAACTTCCCTTATCTATGACTGGCACTCAAATGGGTATCTCAGACTCAGCTTTTGGAGGATCCCAATGTCATATATGTACCAAGACTGGAGGTCACTAGGGCTGGTTGACATAGCAGCCCTGCAAAGCCATCAAGCATCTAGACCTTTGATTCCTCCCTCTCCATCAGTGACTTTTCACCTTTGGCCATGTCCTTTCATGACTACAAGGTGGCTGCAGAAGCTCCAGCCAGTGCACCTGAGCATGCAAAGTTGGAAGCTGAGAGTAGAGAGGTGGTGGTGGGGTAGGAGTGGAGAAGTGGTGGGCAGCAGGACCTTTCCTTGCATGCATATTTCTTTGAAACAAGAAAAAGCAAATGTCCCTGAAGGAGCCCTTACATGTCTCATTGGCCATCTTTACTTGCTGCCGAGGAGGCTGGGAAGAAGGTTAGTTGATCTTTCTGGGCTCTGGGTAGTGGGTAGGGCATGCATATACGTGATCACAGCATTCACCTGTGCCTTTCTGCTGTTTTGTAGTCATGGGAGGTAGACCACTAATCCATCTGTCCGTCCAAAGAGGCCCTATGAAGCCGAATGTGCCTCCAGAAAGGAATTTTAATTCGTTCATGGCTGAAAAGTTGAAATTTTACAGCAAAAGTTTGAAATCTCTGTAAACGACAGAGTTGAAAAGGTCGGCATTTAAATCTGTTCTCTTAACAGATGGCTCCCAGAGCGAGCGGAGCTCGGAATTCGCTTTCTAGGCTCCATAAAGCTGGGCGTGTGGTTTATGACATCAGCAGAGCCTGCAGTGAATTACTGTGCATCCTTGCCCTGGCGGTGGGGCCATCTATTATGCTACTGTGAGCAATGCTGATTAGGAAGGTGTCTTTGATAGCTCAGTAGAGGGAAAACGCTCCTGTTGCAGGACTGAAGACAACGGTTCAAGCAAAGGTCCATAAAGAAGGGGCTGGACATTGCCAGCCTTCTGCATCCTGCGTGTCTTTGTGTATGACAAAGAAGAATAAGATTATCAAGTCATTTAAAAAGACACATTCTAAATTTAGAAACAAAGACTTTCCTGTTAATGCCTTGCCTCCAATAATTCCTAATTGAGATCTACGTATCTCCTTAATAAAGCACAAGCATTTATCTAGTGATCTAAGACTGGGTGTTATGCACCTATTTAACTAATAATTTTTTTTGACAGAGTCTATGTGGCCTAGATTGGCTTCAAACTTGTGCTCTTCCTGTCTCAGCCTCTTGAGTGCTGGACATGGATTTGTACTATCACATCCTACTAATTGATACATTCTGAGTCTTGAAAACAAAAATCTATTTGTCCTTTCTGACCTCTCCAAGTCAAAGTAATAAATTGTAATTCATTACAACAAAACTCAGCGAGTCAAGATACACTTTCTACCCTGAATGCTTACTGGGTTAGGTGTTGTTTACAATAAGTCATTGGTTGTGGTTGAGGCTTTCTAAAAAAATAATGAAATCGTTGTAGAAACCATATTTGTCTTAATATTATTTGAGCCTGGAGGGGTCTAAGAGATTTAAATAACCAGTTCAAAGACAAACTTCTTTCATAAACCACACAGAATACTTTTCCAAGTTTGAGGTGCCACAAATGATCACCCTTTTGTCAACTTGGTGCACAGGGTCTGGGGCGTGGGGTCGGGGGTGTGACTATGTGTAGTCACAAGCTCCCCGCGAAATCTTGATGCATACGAAAGCACTATATGACAGCCTCAGAGTGTCTTTAGAATGTGCTCTTGAAATCTGTGTGCACTTACCAGTCTCTGTGCTGGGCCTGAGGGCTAGATTCCCTGGATACGTTAGCCACCAGCCACACGTGGTCCTTTCTTTTTTGAGCGTATATGCCTTGGACCTAAATTGTCCCCCAGAAGTTTCAAGTATTTGAGGGTGGACTGTGGGGCCCTCCACTTGTCATCCATCGATGAGTTCGTAGCTGCATGTGCTCCTAGGACGCCGGGCTGGTTGGAAGTGGGCCTCTGGGGTGTGACCTGGAGGGGTGCGCTCTCACCCCAGCCCCTTTCTTCCGTCTCTGCTTCCTGGCTGCCGTGGGTTGAGCATTTTTCCCCGTCTACTATCCTGTTTCTGCCTTTAAGTCAGTGGACCATGGACTGAAGCTGTAAGCCCAAGTAAGCCTCTATTTCCCTAAATTTGTGGGTGTCGGGCATTTTGTCCCAGTGACAGGGAAGTGACTAAGAAGAGCCTGATAAGAATCTGCAGACTGTGCCACCTCATAACAGAGATGTGCTCACACATGCTGGTGCAACATACCTGTAAAACCCAAGAACCCTGAGTGGGGACCCAGCCGTGGCGTCAGCTCTGCAGCCTCAGGTGAGCTCTTCCATCTCTGGGCTCAGCGGCCTTCTGTGAGAGAGGTGAGGAGGAGATCGGAGAAGGTCAGAGTGGGAAGAAGTCAGAAACCATCTTCTTCCGCCCCTTCATCCTGGAGATGCTCAGTGAGATCAGAAGAGACTCAGAAGCCAGCCCTTGCACTCTGTCCTTTAGGCCAGCGGGGAAACTGAGGCTCAGACAGGGACAGGAAGTGACTTACCCTGGGCCATACCCCTAGTCCCTAGTCCAAGGAGCCAGAAGACTATGGCTTTGTTAGGTTTCATCCCTTTAAACTTTCAAAACCAACCTGGAAAGGAAGCAGATGGTGGGCTTGGTCCTTTCGATTTTAATTTACACGAATTCAAGTGAATTAAAGTGAAGCATCCGCTCCCCCAGCTGCTCCAGCCCCATTTCAAACACTCAGTAGTCTCCAGTGGCCAGTGGATAGCAACATAGTGGGCTGCCAGCCACCAAACATGTCTCTTGTCGCAGAACATTCTCTGGACCAGGACTGGAAACATCACCTAACAAAATAGATAATGTTTCCGGCCGTCATGAAGGAAAGTAGACCAGCCCATCCTGCCCCCCAACCCAGAGTCAAATGCAAAAGAGTTCAGGAGACCTGTCCATACAGGGCCTCTAGTGTGAAGGCCTGGATTCCATTGCAATGTTCTGCACGAGTCCAGCTGAAGACCCAGAGCCCTTGGCGATGTCCTCCATTAGTTCAGCTGGGGGCTGAGAGCCCACGGCAATGACTCATGCAAGTCTGTATCAAGGATCTGCACCGGGAGGGCCCGAAGGTCAGCAGTGAAGCTAGGAAGTCTGCGCCAGCAGGGTGAAGGATCTGTGCCAGCAGCTGAGGGGTCTGCACTGGGAAGTGATGCTCAAGGTAAGGACCAGAGCTACCCTGAAAAGAACTACAGCCATCCTCAGTGACAGCGAGGTCCTGAGCTCCTGTGATGATGAGAACAGCTAAGTCCCTATCAGTAAATCCAGTTTGACAGCCTTCTCCAGGAGGATCACCAGCGCACCATCTTCCCCTCCATTCACCTTTTATGCTGCTGGCCACAGTCCTCAGGTGGGCCCTCCACACCCAGCGCCACGCTGACCAGTTCAGCAGGGCGTTACATGGTGCCCTTTAGTTAACCCACCACACGGGGAAAAGATGAGAAAGTTCAAAGCATGCTGATGTACAGGAGATGGTTTTGGGCACAGGGGGCAGGGTGGGGGGAGAGAATGGTGCATTCAGGAAACCAAAAGCATCCTGGCATGGCTGAGAGCTGGCAGGACACTAGAGTCCAGGCTGCAGGGTTGGCCAGGGCCACTGAATCTATCCATTCAGCCCAGGGTCATGGACCAACCTAAGACTCACTGTGAATTTCCTTGCACAGTTCAGTGCAGGACTCGGTCTTTTGGTTTCTCTGTGAGGTCTTGAGCCACCCTAACTAGAAAGGCATCTTTGCGAGACAGGGCCCGGCTTACTTTTTATTTCGGAAGGCAAGGCCGCGTGTCAGGGCGCAGCGGTCCCTGCGCGCTGCTTCCTGAAAAGGTGTTTCATCAACAGAAATGCTGATTCTCTGGCTTCCCAAAGCTATATTTAGAGATGACATTTGCATTTCCACAGATCAACAGCTCTTGCTTCCATACACTTCCCGGAGCGTCGCTGTCACCGTGAAACCGCCGCTCTCCTAACCGTGTCCCCATCTTAACTGCTGGGAATATGTGAATCACAGGCGTCTGTAATTTGGTAAAGGAGGGCGGCTGAGTAAGATACATTTTTGCATTTTCTAGAGGTCAGAAAGGAACCGGTATAGTCTTCCAAAGAGTTTTGGGAAAAAAATTAATCTTATGCTATATTTTGTGTCATTCATTTAAAAATACCTTTAAAGATTCTAGCTAACCATCTCCCAGACCCCCAGACCCTTCCTCCCGGCCGCCCTTTTTTCCTTTCTTCTTTCTTTAACTCGGAATCAGAAAATTTCTGCTACCTCAGGAGGCTTCTGTATTGATGGCTCTCCCTGAGGTAGAAATACCTTCTGCTCTGCGAGGAGGCTGCATTTCACCGAGGTTTTGTGCCTGCGGCAGCTGCGCATTGTTCTGTGTTGCTGGAGTTTGAATATTTTTAAGTATGAGGCTGACCTGTTTCCATGTTGGCGAGCTAGTTCTCAGAGCAATTGATAACAAAGGGAATATCCTATTTCCTGGTCAAGAGAGTGTATGTGGGGTGGGGGAATAGATAGCAGAGAAAACCAGTGACCTCCGGGACGAGTCCGTGGGATTACTGGTCTGCCCTTTGCAGTGGGAAATCCACAGCCTCGGACCCTGGTCCCCAGGTCCCGGGATGTTATGCGCACTTGTGACCAGTAGAGGGCAGTGCGCGCTCTCTTCAAGAGCCCATAAAAATTAGGTTTCTCTGCCATAGCTAAAAGGATTTGTCTGGCAAAGGGCAAACCCATTAGGCATAAACATTCAGTATTTTTTGCTGTTGCCTGTCATAATGGAAACAATGATTTGAAGGTTCTGATTAAACCTGCAAGATTTTCCCTGCAGTGTGCGTCTCCGAGCATATTCTCCTCAAAGTCACTTCTTTTGATTTTTACCTGCGTTAGACGTGAGAGTTACATTGCAGATAACTTTTTCAGGACTTTGGGAGGGAAAATTCCCTTTAATCTCTCGGGGAAGCGCTCATTCGAATGTAAATGGGAATTAAATAATAGGAAAGTCTTCATCAAAACAACAATACCTCAAATTTTTATTTTTGTTTCTTTTTTATTTTTAAGGTGTTTCTTTTAAAGGGGAAACATTATTATGAGCTCAACATGTGCTGGAAAGCTCTCACCCACGAACCCTAATGCAAACGTGAAGAATTAGGCCATTACTTCTGCAGACCAGTTTTTCCCCTGAGATCATAAAAATGTAATCTCGGCACAGATGACCGCTGGTCTCAGGAGACAAAGGCCGGAGAAGTGGGCTGTGCAGACCCGAGCGTCGGCGGTCACACCCTGGTCACCGGGACTTTGCAGGCTCGAATCTGGCTCCGCTGCGGGCCTGAAATACCAGATCCAGCAAATGCTTTGTTCGCTTTGCAGCGGCCGGCGGGATTTCCCGAGCGGGCAGTGGGGGCGCCGGGGCCTGGGCGGGGTCCCGCGGGGAGCTGGGACGACCCCCCAAAAGCAGCTTCGTCCCCCCAGGAAGCCGCTCTCTGAGCTGGGGAGATGCCCCACCCGCTTGGCCGAGCCTGACTCACATCTCCCAGCCTCCCGCGTTCCTCCCCGCCTGTCTGTCTGTCTGTCCCTCTCCGCTGCCGAGTGTAGCCACGGCCGCAGCCCACGCGCGTTAATGGTTCACCGAGGATCTGACCTGGGGCCGAGTGAGCCAGGACTGGGGAATGCAAAGGTCCTCGGCCAGGGACAGTTTCGCTCCGAGGGGTCACTGGTGACACACTGCGCGGGAGGGGGGGGGGCTTGGGGACCCGGGACTGCGCACAGGAGCCTCCCCCAGGACGGCAGGGTCCAGGCGGGGGGTCCCGAGAGCATCCGGTGGCCCCGAAAAGGACTGGGGAACGCTGAAGGCATTCAGGTTCTTGTGCTTCTTGGTGCCGAAAAGGTCAGTTCTGGGACCCCAGGGAGCGCGTGGCAGATTGAGTGGACGGTGGGGTGACACCGTGGAGTGGCCTCTCAGAGGTGCCAATGCGTTGGGGAGCCTCCCCCTGCACCCCAGCTTTGGGCTGGACATTGCTGCCCCCCCCCCCACCCGCTCTGAGCCCCAGATCCAGGGTCTCCCAGCACTGAACTGCAGGCTGGGCAGAGGGATGCGGGCACCGCGGTGCGGCAGCACCTGTCCGGTCGCAGAGGGCCTCAGAGTGGGGTCCCCTCCCCACCATGGCAGACTCCATTCTGGTGTTTGGAGGCTCGGTAGCTGAGGTCCTCAAGTCGGGACGTTTAATAACATCAGGGGACACTTGGTAGTGAGGACTGGGGTAGGGGTGCTGCGGGCACAGACACTGCTGTGGTCCTGCGGGACTGAGGCCAACCCCTTTCCTCGCCCTAACGGGAGCCATGGATCCTCCACCACTGTGGTGCAAAAGGAGGACTTGTGGCAGTGTCGTGGCATAGAACATTGTCCTTCCCTGTCTATCCCTGGGCC